TATAAATTACACTACCCGTCCAAAATAATTGTAATTTTAGACACAAAAATATAATCCCAAAAAATTGATGTTGTTTAAGAAATTATAAACGTAATTTTTCTAATCTTCCAAAGTTGCCCATATATATAGGTTATCTTACCTTTCTTAACGGAACCCATTACCCATTGTTCTCTTCTATATTTTGGAAATTTACTTGAAGTTTACTTCTATACAGCTAAAAATTGATGGAGATTTCCTTTATTTTCTGGCCGATGCAGCAGTTACAGCGGTGAGTGTTTAAGAACTTATTTTGATGTTTATTTGTGTCTGCAATATTTGAGCTTTAGAACCAACTACTATCTGGACAACTATTGCCAATTTTCAGTTTCAGTATGGAAATCCAGATACACTCTGTGATCCTCTCATTGAAGCAAAGAAAGGTGGAGAAGATTTAGTGGTGAGCTCTAATTTGTGTGACATATTTGTTTCTTTGAGTTACTGTATTGTGCAGATCCATGTTTCTAACATCTCATAATGAATATGTCTGAACTACCTCTCCGTATATCGATTTTGTCTTTTTTTTCTTGCTTAGGAATCTATTTAGAGATTTGTATCATGACAAATTACTCCATATAAAGGTTTACATGTATAAGCTAATTCATACAACATTTAATTGACGATTGGGTGTTTCTCCTTGCAGAAAGCATACGCCACATACGTGAAGGAAAATTTTGTTAAGGGTTTTGGTGTTAGTGTTGCAACATACGATCAAGAACATCTAAAGAATACTGCAACAGAAGGTGATACTGCTGATCGTCTGTGGTGGTTCCAAGTTTGTACAGAAGTTGCATATTTCCAGGTGGCCCCAGCAAATGATAGTGTCCGCTCTTCAGGGGTTGATACAAGGCATGTTTTTATTCATTATTAACACCTTGATATTGGTCTTTTCTGTTGAATGCTCAGTGAGTAAATTTCACTACGTACTTAGTTATTGGTTTATTTCTCCCTCCATCCAATAAGTTTCTTCTCACATTCCTTTTTGGGATGTCCAAGAACTTTCTTCACATTTCTTCATTAGGAAATAATTGTAGGGATGGTTTTTTTTCCCTTTTAATCAATGACAACCATAAATTTTCATCTACTAATAAGCGCGCCAAGTCAAATCGGGAAGAAATTTTCGGGATAAAGGTTTTTTGCACATTTACATTTTACATTGATATAAATTCTACGAAGTATATGTGATGGATCAAACATGATACTCCTTACAACAAATCATTTTTGCAGCTACCATTTGAACCTTTGCGAGAATGTCTTTGGGAAAGGTATCTATCCTGATGTTGATGGAACCAATTTGTACTATGGTGGCACAAAAATTGCTGGTACTTCACATTCTTACTTTTTTTTATTAGACGTTTGATACTTATATAAGCTGATCCTTATACTAGACTGTAAAATTATGATTGGCAGGTTCAAAGATAGTCTTCACAAATGGATCACAAGATCCATGGCGACATGCATCTAAACAGACTTCATCTCCTGACAGTGAGTAACCAGTGATTCATCACTGATAGATATAGAAGTCAGGGGGTTGTACATTTGTTAATAAATAGAATGATTCCAAAAATGGTCAAGCATCCTTTCAATTTTCATAAAATCTCATATCTATATCAAGATTAAGCTTTTTCTTTGAAACCCTTTCATCTAAACAAGCCCTTAGGAGTTAGGACACCATGTTATTGTACTTTAGTTGGAAGGTTTATCACTTTATCGAGTTATTTACTGAAGTCCTCATTTTCATATTCAGTGCCTTCTTACATAATCACATGTCATAACTGTGGCCATGGAACTGATATGCGTGGTTGCCCCCAGTCTCCTTTAGTCCCTGAAGGTATGCTTTGAATAATGTCACCATATTACCATGCAAGATAATAGTTTTCTTAAAATATATACCTGAAATGTCGCCACCCCAGGTGATGCCAAGAATTGCAGCTCCCGTGATGCAGTGCTTAAAGTAAGAAAAGAGATGATAGAGCACATGGACCTTTGGTTGTCTCAATGCCAAGTTCTTTCAGGTAGGAGTTCAATGTAATAGCGAAACAACGATATCATACATACTAGGAGTTATAACTCTGAAGCGTTTGTTATTCTGTTACTCTTCCACCATCTAAGTTCATTATAACCTTTTGCAAACAGATGTTTAATTGATCATCCATGTGTAAATGGTGTATCTACAACGTCTTGGTATGTGTAATATATGTAACTGTGATGATACGCATACCGTTTTACCTTTTCTTGTAACGTTTCCGTGAAGACACATTTTGTTGTTCGGTTGAATTGTAATTTCAGACCGAGTCTGAACTGATATGATCTTCTGTGAACTTTTTATAGATATATCATCTTTGAATAAGTCTATCATATTCCGTATTATTCAATGGTTATCGGAATACAAATATTCAATGGTTATGTTCTGTTTGATCTATTTCATCTCAAACTAAAACACATACATGAGATTAAACACGTCCAGTTAAACCAATCAAACCGTCTAGTGAACAGTACTTTTGAGCTATATGAAAGATTACTACAACGTCAATCAAATAAAAATTCAAAGAAATGAATCGTATCAAATAAGATGGGAACCGATAAAATTACATGATTGGTGAAAGCAAGTGTACTTATATGGTATTTTTTTAGTATATGGGGTTTGATGATGAATTTAATAGAAAAGTTTATTTGAATCATTTGCCTTGTTAAATATTGTTTTTTCTGCTCTATTAGAAACAAAGAATTCATTTAAAATCTGTAAAAAATCTGCGAATCATGTGGCTCATGTTTTAGCTAAGTCACATGTTCATATCTCAAATCAGGCTATTGATTATGATCAGCCACCGCTTTGTATTTCTAGCCATTTTGGCTAATGACTTGTTGATTTAATAAAGCTTTCGGTTTGTTTGATAAAAAAAAAAATTCTTTCTGCTCTTATTGTTGTTCTTGTTTTTTACCCAGGAAGGATTCCTGGGTATTGTTAGTGAGGCAAGAGCTGGGAACTCTTATCCAGTTTTATTAAAATGTTTTACTAAAAGAGAGTACAAAAGTGTTAATGAAGGAAGAAAACTAATAAACACTGAAAAGTAGCGCAGTTAATGAATAGATGAAAACTAAAGAAAACAAAACAGAAAAGTTAGGATGTTTTTATTTACTGAAATTTTGTTGGTCTGGTTTGATCTTGTCTGATCTGGTCTGATAAATGTTTGGTCTCTGTATATTTTATAACTATTGAAGTCTGGTCTGATCTGATCTGGTGTGGGACTGAAAATAGTCCAAAAGAAAACATTCTTAACATGAAAAGTCACAAATTTGACGCTTCCCGAAATAGCTATGAAAGCACATTTCTCCCAAACTAACGAGAGAGTTCGAGTCTTTTCAAACACTCAAACAGTCAACAACAAAGTAGTGAAATTAACTTGAAAACTTGGACTCCACTTCAAAAGTTCAAAGTAGGACGAGCGTTGTTTTTTTAAGCTAATGAAATTCCGTACCCACAAGAAGTCCCGAACAAGTGATCCAAAAAGTTCTACTATCCGTAATGTTGATATCCAAAAAGTAGATGAGATTAAAAATAGTGAAAGAGAATATAAATTATTGAGTGTATGATGAGAAGATGAGGGAATAGTGTGGTGGAATGAAAGATAAATCCCAAAAAAATAGTTGTAATAATGTATTATTTTCAAAATTATTGAGGGTATGATGAGAAGGTTTAGAAATGGGAAGATATGAATGTTACGAACGAAAAAAGGAAAGCGGAAAGATATGAATGTTACGGAGGAAGTATATGACAGCATCCTCTTAGCCTTTATATGTGCACTCCTCCTCTTAGGTATGGAAAGAGTTATTATCTCTGATAAACGATCGAGTAACTCATAATCAGTGAGAGATCTTTTTAAGGGAGTAGTTTCAATCTCCTAACCAGATGAATATGAAGCGTCGGATCTGAATGTGAAACGTCAAGTATGACGATAGAAGCTCATTCTCAATGGACTCAGAAGTTCGTCATTTTACTCCACATTGTGAAAGTTTTATACTTTTAATAGGATTAAATAAATCATACTCCGTATTTTAGGAATAAAACATAAGTACTCCTATTTGTACACTTTGTCCATGTTGTAGACTTGTCTTCACATATTAAGAGCAATTACTTTACAAGTATCACTTTAAATTATTTAAAATGGAAGCAAATGGACAAAATATTTTCAATTGACATCACTGTGACACTTCCAAAGAGGTCACTGGTTCAAAACTCATCCTAGTCAAGGATGTTGACATGTAACGTTGAAGGATTGAATATATACTATAAGAGACTAAAAGTCCAGCAAAAAAAGATTGAAAGCAGAGCAAATTTGGAATATTATTTAAAAGTTGTAACCAAGAAGGAAGTGAAGCTTTCAATTTTGTACACCTCAAAATTAGAAAATTGTACTTGCATTTTGAGACACTGAGGGCTATGTAGAAAATACTGCGCGGCCTTTTTATCTGTTGTCCCTACATATTCTTGAATGAGGTCTTGGTCTTTTCAACACTTGTGAATGAGTTTTTACAGTTGTTGATCCTGTATTTTTCATCTAGAGGCAAATAGTCACATACTCACATGATGTTTTCTTTTAAACTGCTTTTAATCACAGACCAAACCAACAAATTTCAATCCAAAAAAACATCATCAAAACAAAACTGTCATTTATGCGCTATATGTTTTTTCCCTCATTGAGTTTCTTTAACTAGTCCAAACTTTTTCTTCTTGTAGTGTTGCCTTTTTTTATGAGGTTCCATTTGATTATATGTGATGCTGAGTTGGTGACTTCCGGCTTCTATACTTGTACTTGATTATGATACTTCATGAGCATTAATGAACAGATCACAATATTATTTTAAGTGATATATATACATATTTACTAAAACTGAGGCTTGCACGGTTGCATATTGCGCAATCCAGAAAAAATACCTCTGACTGCAATATACAAATTTGAAAACTGGTGTAAATGCATTGAGTATATGTTACATTCATGTAAGGTTGGAGCAATACTTATATTAGTTATATATCCCCTTATTGCCATCTGGGTAGTGAAGCTCAATATGATGTAAGCATATACACTTTTAAAAGAACTTCCCCACACACAATAATAATTAACAAAACAAAAAAAAAACTCCAAAAATTCGGCTGCCTACATTTCAGAGAATGAAAGGACAATGAAAGATAATCATATGAGGCTAAAAAATCAATAATGGCCGCTAAACATTCATAAAAAGGACAACACGATTTCAATAAGATACGATAGTCAAATGGTGGGGCGATGTGTACACATTGCATAACTTAGACTCTGCTTTGAACACCAGAAGAAGTACTCAACCAGCCATATTCCTATTAGCTTACAAAATCGGGTGGTGGCAAGTTATATGAGATATGTCGAAGCAACCCACAACAGGAAATAGGTTATGAGAGAAGTTGTAACCTCCAAACTCCTGGGTCCTTTAAGTATAGGTGGTACCAAAGATACCATCAAGAATGTCCCAAGTAGCCACGAGAAAATAAATCCACCAACTCTGCAAACCAAATGGGGAATTCACAAACCAAACCAGAAAGAGGGGATATAGTTTAATACAAGTACTACGGGATCAAGGAAAAAACATTTGACAACCTCATGATTCACAACTTCAATATAGAATGAAGCATTTGAAATTATACTTGCAATAATGTTGACTGATGTAAAAGTCCACACATGCACGCTGCCGTCTTTAAGGCTTGGGGTCATAAATTTCTTTCAGTTAGGCCCCACCAATTAAGAATGGTGGATCTATTATAAAAGTCAGCCTAAGTCATTCTGAATTTCTGATAGGATACCTTAATTTGTTTTTATTAATTTGCCTGGCATGTCACTTAAAATGCCCGCAAGATGGACTATGTTCATTGGATCAAATACATTATATGTTTGTTTATATTACATTAATGTGATAGGAGATAGACTTGACATGTCTTGAGAGATGATAACTCATTGAGCCAAGCCTTCCTTGAAGTCTTCTCATTTCTTAAACATTTTTTGCTTACCAAGATCGATACAATTATTTTGATTTAATAGGCTTCAGCACCATATAAAGACATGATATTTATTATAAATGATCAATCTCATGCCGCTTAATTCAACTTAGATCTAGATTAACCAAGATTAATCCTCAATTATGCACATACACCCAGACGGGTTCAGAAAATTAAATATATACACGGATTCAGCACAAAGTGTGAGATAAGTAGCATACCCATAAAGAAAAGCTCTAAGTTTGCTCCTTAGACGGGCATGAATGAAATACAAGGTGGTGATAAGAGAAATGGCGACTTGAAGAGTTGGGCCTTCTTCAGTCGGAAACAGAACTGTCATGGCTCCAATAACAACGAAAGCAATGGATGTTTTTATCAAGAAAGATGTAGCTGGAGTGCGAAACCTGCTTGCAACCACCTGAACAGACTTGGATTGGGTAAATTCTTTCACCTTTTTCTTAATATTTATTTTTGGGTTCTTCCTTTCATAAAATTTCTGCATGATTATCTTATCATGAGCCGATTCAATCGAATCCACACTCGGTTTATGACCGGCATATTTTTTTATTAGGAAGTTTCTAGCGGATTGGATTTCTTCTTCAGAAGCCTCCCTGCTGATTCCAAGTCGTTTATATGGATCCGTTATGTTGATCCTAGGAAAGTGAGCTACAACCAACAGGAAAAACTAATTTAGAACAAACTCCAATGTGGTTGCAACTTTTGCATTTAAAAAAATAGGCGGTTAAGAGTGGCAACTCATATCTAAAGACTTGAGTGCTATCCGTCAAAAGTTCAACACTTGTTTCAACAACAAAAGAGAAAATAGAAATAGTAATAATGTCTAAAATTAGACTCTGTTCGGTAGCCTCATATAGTCATATGTCTTATTTGTTATGGGCTTATTTAAAGGATAAGCATATTTAACTTTTTGGCCAACGTATGTTATCAAATGCTTTTCCTTTTAGAAAATTCAGCCACTTGAACTAAATAACCTTACCAAACAGGCCATGAATGTTCAAGTATTTTATTATTTACCTGGTTATTCTAAATCTAAATATGTACTCCTAGTCTCCTACTATTGTTTAAGTGCTAGGCTATTAGGGAGTATAGTATGTCAGTTGCATCTCCATCTAGTGTAGATCATTACAAAATTACGAAGGTTTTTAAAATGAAATGTTTGTAATTACATCAACTCTTCATGAAAATACACAGTACACACTGTGTTTATTCGTTGTTGTATCATTTGACAGAGACAAATTTAAAGCATAAAGCAGCCACATCTAATATTTCTCCAGATCTCTGAAAATTCCACCAGGATAGCATTCTTGAACCAAATGGTATAATTAGTTAAAGGAAACTTTCTAGCTACAAAAAGATATATGTTTACCACCAGCATCACCCATGGAATCCCCATAGTAAGCTGACATTGAACACTTGACTAGATGATTTCGCTCTAATTTGAATTTCCTTGTATCGTTTCGCCTGCAGGTTTAATTAAGAATATGAAAACAAACGGTCGTAACAATAACATGCCCAATTAGCAGTAGACCAGTAGTAGTAGTAGTAGTAATGTTAACAAAAAATAGAATAACTGAATAACATAGGATTTGAACATATACCGCATTCTCATTACATCTGTAAACACCAGAACATTCTTGGTAGGGAACCCCAGACATCGTACAGATGGGTGAAAACTGTATCTCAATGGGCTAGCGGTTAACCCAGGCACAATCATTGTAGATTGAGAGTGCATAGACTGAAGAAACTACGAACCTGCACTAAATTTGCGCGAGAACTAATTTACTTACTGTCAGAAAAACGCGAGGAAATCAGGAAATCAAAGTAAACTATCCAAAGTTGACGAGATAAAAATGCTCTGTAACATTAACTGCCATTGTTAGTAGATATAGTTCAAATAATTAAAAATTCGACATAAAAACAATGCCCAAGCGATTCGAGTGTTATACCACAACTCTAGTAAAATCAAAGTTCATTCAAGTTTTGAACCCTACTACCCTAACAGAATTAAAATTGAGATTTCACCGAAGAAGCTTACAGGTACAGCGGGAAACACGGCACAGGCGACGGAGACCAGCGGCTTCAGGCGGGCATGTGAGCCGATGAAGAGTGTGTTGGCTCTCAGTTAGCGGCTTCTGGCGTTATGGGACAGATGGATGGTCAAAACCGGGATTCGAACCAAACTTTCTGGTCTGATTCGAATGAGTCATGGGTCGTTTGATTAGAATAGTTGGTTTACTTTTGGTTAATATAGGCCTGATCTATCTAAAAAGAATGAGACGTGATCTATTTTTTTTGGAAAATTTCGGCTTATATTAATAATAATAACCAATCTTACAGAGTGGGTCAAATGACAAAAAGAAATCTGACAACCGTTATCCATCGAACCAAACTCGGAATTAATCGTCGTAGCCATAAAATTCGTTGATCCATAACTGAGAAACAAAAAGCCAAAAACAGTTACCATATTCCTCTCATTCCCCATATCCAAACCCAAAGTCTTACAAACTGGAATAAAGCAAAAATAAAGAACAAAACAGAACCACACAACAAACAATTCGACAGAAAAACACAAACTGAATAAAACGAAATTCAAAACGAATTCACCCATCTTCTTCCAAACCCTAGATTTGCGTTCACTCCATGGCGGTGGTTCAGGAGGGGGACGCGCCCGCCGTTCATCCGCCACAACTTCAACATCAGCTTTATTCAGATCCAGTTCTTCTTCCTCTGCGCCAATCTCCAGCGTCTTGTACTTGTCCACAAAGCTTTCCAGGCCGAAAAGAGGAAAAGCAAAAGAATATTTGAAACTCGTTTCCACCTCCAGAGCAAAAGAACGGGGCTGCAACGAGAGAACTCTTATTCGCACATGTATTGAAACCCTTCATTCAATAGCTCGGACCGAAGAACCCAGACAACTTCTTCGACAATAGACAGCGTCTTCCAAACAATCCAAAGAGACATCCAACGAATAAAGGACTCGGAGACACGGCGGAGAGCCGTCTCCGGACTAACCCTAGACCAACCTAGGCGGCGGTTCTAGAGAGAGGCGAGAGCTCACAATTCGTTTAAAAATAGAGTTTTAAACACTCAATACTCCAATCATTATAAAACACATAATTAAATATACAAAATAGTTAATATAAATGAATTTTAATTAATCCAATTAAGTTCACTCGGTACATCACTATTATTCACTGAGTACATCACTTCTATTCATTTTAATTATTCCAACTCATTTGGTGAAAGTGAAGGAAAAAAATATGTTTTTAAACTGCTATATTTACTCCAACTTTTGAAAATCTTATATCAAAATTCATAAGTTTTTATGAACTTTCATATGACATAAAACCAAAAAAATATATTTTATATAATAAAATTTGAGTTATAAATCAATAATGTGTCAGTTTCTTATCTATATATATATATAGTAAAACGGAAAAGTGTGGGAAGTTTTGGGCGGAAACACTGTAACACTTTGGAAATAATTTTGCAAAATAATAAGTTGAAAAATGAGTCATGTGAGAAGCTCTAGGGCATATCACACTTTACAATGAGACATGATCTATTTAAATTCAACAATTATGATGTACTTAAAATTTATACACACTTAACACACATTTGTACGTAATTATTTTTACACGTGAAAGAAGTTGGGAATAATCTAAACTCTAGCCCACTCCAAATTTAAAAATACATTGCTTTTAATGCAAAAATTCCGTGCATTTTTTCCTAAAAATGTTCTTTGTATTGACTCAGTGCACTGGCTCCACCCATATCATGTCTGCACACAGACAATTGTTGCACGATCTATCTATCTACACAGACAACTAGAGGATGTACACAGAATATTATGTACAAATATGTAACAAAAGCGTACAGATTTAATGCGGAGTATGTTGTGTTTCAAATGTTGTACTACGTACCATTTACTTTTTTTGGGATGAAATGTAAGTATATTAATAAAAGTTTATCCAAAAGTAACTAAATACAAGTGTCAAAAAAATAACTATCTAAGTTAGTAAACTAACCTAAGATAGTAACTACCATTCCCACCCCACCTCACGGCAACTCGGCAAGGGAATTGTACGATTTACTCTATGTCTCTATTATTACACTCAGTTATGTTTGAATTTGCATTATATGCTTGTTTTTAATAGATGTGTTTTTAAGTGTATTCTATAATATTTTATTGTAATCACGGTTTCTTTGCTTTATACGGGTGTGTTACTTAGTACATTTGAGGCCAATTTCCAACCCAATTTTCATTTGTAAGGAACTAGTATCTTTACCCGTGCCTTGCACGGGATAATAAATACTTTTATGTTTTATTATATATAGAATTATATGTAATGTAGGAAAGAACATTTCATGGTGTTGCATTGTCTCCATGGCATATAAAGAGTATGGTTTAACAAATAAAGAAGATGATACCAATGCTTGTTAAAACCTATTTATTGTTAAGTAGAATTCATCTTCGTCCCTCATCATCTGGCCAAAGAAGGTCTGGACACCGACCTTATCTTTCTAGACGCACACTTTGACGGTGTTTTGAACATATGATGTTATTATGTCATTTTTGTAAATTGCGCTCTCTTATTGTTTCCATTGTTTCCCTATATAAATTTGTTTTGGGAGAATTTGACTTTGCACCCCACTTTTTGGGTGATATTGGACTTTGCACCCCATTTTAAAAAACATTTGACTTTGCACTCTATCATCTAAAATTTGTGAAGGAAAATTTCAAAATGGGGTGCAAAGTCAAAGAATTTTGAAGTGAAATGGGGTGCAAAATCAAAGTTTTTTTAAAATGGGGTGCAAAGTCCAATTTCATCCCAAATGTGGGGTGCAAAGTCAAATTCCCCCATTTGTTTTCATTGTTAATAATGCTTCGTAAATTGATTTAATTTTTAAATCAAGACAAATTTAAAGAATATATAATTCAAGAATGATAAATACTTTCTAGAACAAACCACATCACTAAAAACTAATCAAGGTAAGATAAATGGTATAGTATAAGAAAAAATTGAATTTAACAAAGTGCATTTAATAATTCGTTTTCACTGTCTTTGAAAATTTATTTTTATTTTTTAAGGAGTGATTTGGATAGGATTACATTTTTGTGATTTTGTGATGTAGAAGCCGTTTGGGAATATTGTTTTTCAACTTATCATGCTTATCCGCCAACTTTTTCAACAAACACAGAACTTTTGCTTTAGCGCGCTAAATTGTGTATGTAATAAGCAGAAAAAATAAGGTTGACGTTTCTTTTATGTCTATATTGGCAGAAGGTACTGTAGATGACCATTTTAAGTATTTTTACATATAATATTTTCTTTATTTAATTTACATCAATCAGAACTTTATTAATTTCAACAGAATCAGCCAAAATAGTCGATTTTCATTCTACCAAACGGGCTCTTTAAAATGATCTGATAATGATTTGGGTGTCATACGGAGTATCATATTGGAGTAGTACGCAGTACAGTGTTTTTTTGGAAAACAATTTAGTATAATTACAATTAGATTAGATTAAATCATACGTAGTACTATGTATTTTTAAAAAGGGTCATTTTACTCCCCACAGCCGCAAGTTCGGATTTTCTTCTCAACTTATACTGAACTTCTTATCATTTCACCCTAGACACTACAATCTTCTTGTATATCAACCCTAATTCCAGATTTCTTCATATATTTCCATGTTCTTCTATTTGAAATCATATTAATCTTCGCACCGTTATTTAAAGGATTGTCAATTTCTGAGGATTCGGCATTGCATAGAATCAGTATCTTCGTCGTGGTGATTGTAATTGTCTCTTGGATGGTAAGTGGAGAGGTCATTCGTAGTCATTCCATTCCAGGTAGATGCGTTCCGTAAATTTCCAAAAATATTACATATTTTTGACGTAGTTATTTGATTTCATTAGTGCTTGGTGTGATATTTTTGTCAGTCTAAATCTAAGACCTTTCATAGTTTCAGTAGGCGATTTTATGCAATAGTTGTATAACGTGTGCAGCAAAATAAATGAAAATGAATCATTATTGTTTCATGCCGTCTTAGTTGGAGAAAAAATCAGATTCATTAATTTTTTTTCTCAAGTAGTTATTTATAAAATGGTTGATTTTTGACGTTAGTTTTATCATTTTTTATATTCTTTTAAATATTTTACTCCAAATAATGTGTTGCATCTCATTTTATTGGCAAAAAGTAGTAGATTACTGACGTATCCTTTAAAAGTATGATTGATAGAGTCAATCTTTAGGTACTTGTGTATGCCAATCTCATTTCTACTTGTGTAGGTAAGATTGAATTTTTTGAAACTGTAAATACTTAATCTGCTGATTGAGATCTGGGTAAATGAGCTTGTAATTGGTAAAAATGCTAAATTTGTTGTTTGTATGCAGGTTTTAATTTGAGAGACGATGAGTTTAAAATCTCATATTGACAGAGGAAGAAAAGCAGCATATTAATTTGATTATAGAGGCTGCAAGGGAGAGGGTACGTATGAGCAGTTTTAAAGGCCATGTCTGGTAAGATTCCTAAAGAACGGTCAGAATCATTCGATTATATGAAGCGATTTATAAACAAAGAACAAACTATTCTAAAATAGTAGGAGTGCTGAAATTGTGTCTGCACACCAATGATATTCTGGATTAAGAATTTAGACATTTTTAAAAATCTCACTATACACGACATTCGTCGTTGAGGCACACGTTTGACCATCCTCGTCTAGAATAAGTATCTTTAATCCCTTTCTGGATTTGACTCTAGAAACTGCCACATATAGTTGACCATGTGTGAAAACCGGTCTTGGCAAGTATAGACCGACCTGAGAGAGAGACTGTCCTTGGCTTTTATTGATTGTCATACCGAAACAAAGAGAGACTGGAAATTGCCGCCTGCAAAATTTGAATGGAAATCCAGGATCCGAAGGTACCAGATTCATTCTCGGGATGAAAATCTTATCCCCAATATTTTTCCCAGTAATGACCGTCGCTCCTAAAACATTTACACACAATTCATTCACCAGTAACCTTGTTCCATTACATAATCCGTTTGCCTGATCCAAATTTCTCATAAGGATTATTGGAACTCCGACTTTTAATCTCAATTTGTGGGATGGAATGCCAGAGCATTTAATGTCATTGAGAAACTCGCTAGTAAACCACGCGCTCTCTATTTCACAATCCTCATCTGAGGGTAAAGTCGAGTCGAAGCTCAAGTATTCCTTCTCTGTTCCAGGAATGAGGGAGAGTATGTAGTCATTAAC